TCCGGTACGTCTTGTGCCAGTGCGTTATCAGCCGCTTCTCCTTGCTGACTCCCTCTCCTTTGCAGACAGCAACACCTTTGTCGACCTCACGTCTTCGCCTGGTTCGTCCCCTCGTTCTGCTGTGCGCGGCGCTCCTGCCACCGTGTCAACCATCGAGTTGGCCGATCCTTCGTTCGACCTTTCCGGCGTGCGGGCCTCGCTGGGTGCGCTGCAGCAGTCCGTTGACCAAGTCGAGGCGCTACGCGAACTCCGCTCGGATCATGCGAACCTGCGTCGTGAGTTCCTGGCTACGCGACGTCGAGCAGAGGATCTGGATCGTCAGCTTGCAGATGCGGCCAACGCTGCCTCGCCGTATGTACTCTTCTGTCAACGCAAGTACGACTTGGTCCGTCACCAGTTGGAATCCACCCAGACGAAGCTCGCCGAGTGCTTGGATGCGCTGCAAGAACGCTTCGACAATTCGCACGAGCTCGAGGCTTGCCGTCTTCGGAATCGTGACTTGAAGATCCGCTATGACGAAGCAGTGTCCGAGTTCCAAGACCGGATCAGCACGCTGGAGGCACAGCTGGCAGCTGCTTCTTCGTTTGGGGTGATCGTTCCGCCGGATACGGCTCGTCGCATAGCGGACTTGGAGTCCCAGCTCACACAGTCTCAAATTGATCTGCAGGTTGCGCGCAATCGCCAATCTGCCCTCGCTTCTGAGCTTCGCGAATCGACCACGTCCCTCAAAGCCGCGCAGGCCGAGGTAACTCGCCTCGCAGCCGTGATCAAGCACAAGAACGGTCGCCTTCGTACCTTGAACGACAACTACGAGCGTCGCTTGAGAGTGGCTGATACCACGATCGCGACCCATACTGCTGAGCTTAGCCGCTTGCAAGACCGAGTATCAACGTTGGATCGGGATCTCCAGAAGGCGTCTCAGCGTGCTCAGGCGGCAATCTCTCAACGCGATCAGGCTAGAGCGGCACACATCGCTACTCGTAAGTATTTGTCTGCATCCTTTCTTCCTCGTCGTACTGATCCGCTTCTTGTGTCGCAGAGGATCGTGTCTCAGCTGCTCGCGATACCATCGCGCGGCTGGAAAAACGGATCAACAAAGTCGAGAGGTCCCAGAAGTCGCGTCAGGATCTCGAGTCCGCGCTCGCCAAGCTTCAGCAGGAAAGAGACGACCTAGCAGTTCAGCGAGATGAGTTGCTCGGCCAACTTGGCGAGCGTTTCATGGAGATCACCGATCTGCGTGCCGAGCGGGACCAGGCGCAGGGAAAGTTGTCCAGCATTGCGTCCCTTCTCCCATCCGTAACAAGCCGTAAACGGACACGCTCCGGATCCGAGTCTCCAACCTCGTCTGCCCGTGCTTCCAAGGCTACTCGACCGACTTCAAGCTCTTCCCAAGCTAGCGCTTCCGGTCACGCTCCCGTATCTGCATCCCCGATCGAACTTCTGTCTACCGCGGCTGTCGGCCAGAGGGCCACCAGGTCGATGTCATCTTCTTCCTCCGCCGGTCCTCCTGGTCATCTCCACCGATCTGTTCGATCGGCTGCTAAGAGTGGTGGCGTAGGGGCTTCGTCGCTCCCTGTAGCTTCTAAGGCGATCGTGCACTCTGACAGTGACGAAAGTTCCTCCGGCGCATCTGGTTCAACTCACGTCTTCGACTCTGACGTCGCGGGAAACGACAGTGGTTCTCCGGAGTCGGGTCGCGCCAAGAACGAATTTGGAATGCCATCCTGTCCTCTGTCGGACGCTGAGCTGGCGGCTTTGCAGCCTACTACGGTCCCTCGATCGGAGTGGATCCCTGGTTATCGTGATCGTCGCAGCTTTCGCGGCCACGACATCGTCCCCTGGTCTGCGCAAGACATCCGCCAGATCAGCATCGTGGAGATGGACGCGGACCTGCTGTTTCACCACTACACTAAGCCGATGGAGTGGCTGATTCCTCTCCGTGATCCCGTGCCTCCGCTTGGAGATTGGCGAGAGGATCTAGTGGACGAGGATAACGTGCGCGACTTGATCAAGGCTGCTCCGTGGGAGGTCCTTGCTGCTCCACTCGACCCTCTCACGTTCAAGAGTCGGGGTTGGTTCCGGCACATGAAGCAGCTTTACGCTTCTTACGAAGCTGAGCATCTCCGGGCCTACTGGGACTCCACCCACGCCTTTCCGGTGAGCATCACCAAACGTCGCGCAAGTCGGTACTTGGAC